CCCCCGCCCCCGCCAACCCATGCCCGTCCATCCGGCCGTCCAGCGGACCCGGCCGGCCCCAGCCCGGCGCTGGGTGGGAAAAGCGAAGCTCTTCAGTGAAGACATAAATGTTATTAAAGAGCCTGTTTTAGGGACTGCACTCGGCTCTCCTGTCATCCTTTCTTCTGCTCTGGTCTCGGGGAATGCGGGGAAGGACGGGGCGGGTACCACACATGGCATCCCCACCTCCTTCCCCCCTACCCCCATTGAGCCCACAGTGGCCTGGCGCCTGCCCGGCCCCCACCCAGCTCTGTCTTTGAGGGGACCCAGCTCCCCGTCCAGCAGGGAGACGTCCGGGAGGGAGACAACCGGCAGTACCTGAGGGAGGCGTAGAGCTAAAGCGCTAGGCCCCACAGCAGGGCTCAGGGGAACTGCCCACAGGGAAGGGATGGGGGAGGGGGCTTTGGTGGAACTACAGGTGAGGGGTGACCTGAGCAGACGCTTGGGGGCAGGAATGCAGGGTGGCAGAGGGTGGGGGAAAGAGGAGAAGGAAGAAGTCCCCTGATGCAAGGACCCGGTGAGGACGGGCCGGGGAGCAAGTCATGGGGGCCTTGAATGCCAAGATGAGGAGCCGGTCCCTGGCTGCTGGCTAAGAGAGAGTAAGGGTGTTGCCGTAGGGGACTGCAGGTCAGTGGCTGGTGGGGCAGGTTTCCTCCACATTAGCCCTTTGGGGGATTGGGCAGTGGGAGAGGCTCGTTGACTCAAACTTGGAAAAGGCCTGAGGGCCCTCTCACCCTCCCCTCCCGCAGCCTCAGCCCATGCTCCCCTGCAGGCAGAGGTCCAGCAGGGGCTCCTGTGTCCCCGGGCACTGGAGACACAACCTCAAGGTCACAGCACGCCAGCCCTTGGGCACTACTCCCCCTGAGGAGGATCTCCCTCCTGCTGAGCTAAAGAGCACCCCCCTCCCCCCATCCAAACACCTGGGGCCACAGACCCAAGGTTCTCCCACCCAGGAGTGCCCTTGCAGGGCCTGCGTCCATGATGTGTCAGACCCCCAGGTCAACCCCATCCTCCTGGGTCTGCAGCTGCAGCACCCACCGCCCTTCCCCACGTGAGGGCCATGAGCACCCCCACTGGGCTCCCAGGGCTTTGCTGCTGTAGCTGCCCAGTCCCCCCCCCCCCGTTCACAGAATGACCCGGGAGTGACTGAGCATTGCTCCTGCTGCACCCCCGAGACGGGGGAGGACAAGGCCGGTGCTCTGCAGAGCTGCCTACACCCCAGCATCTCCATCCATGTGCCTGGAGCCTCTTTGTGCTCTTGCTCCCGTGCCCTGGTGGTTTGGGGTCTGACCCACCCCGACAGTGGCAGAGGGGGTCTGGGGTGAGGCTCAAGCTGGGCAGAAGCCCAGGAGCTGGTGAGAACTCTGGCTGCTTTCCTGCCTCTCAGTCATCTGGAGTCCCAGAACATTCCTCCCCTCTGGCAAGACGCCGAGCCACAGACATCACCCCAAGCCTGGGGCTCCATCCCTGCTCCCTCAGTGGATTGCCCCTTGGAAGGGTTCAGAGTGGCCTCAGAGGCAGGGGGTAAGCCTTGAACACAAAGTGCGTGGTCCTTTGGGCCCTCCCCGCCCTCCATCCTGACACAGCGGGCCACCGCGGAGTGTCCTGAGTGTCCCGAGCAGGAATCTGGGCATGGAAGTAGGGCAAAGTAGGGCACTGAAGCCTGTCACCTTTGCTGAACTGGGGGCAATGAGAAAGTGGGAGAGGGTCTGCACCCACCCCGAGGATGGTCGTCAGGCACTGTTCCTGAAGTGTTCCCAGGGTAAAGCGAATTTGGGGGAGAATGGCAGAGAATGGGGATCACCGTGGGCTCTCTAAGGCACTCGAGGGCCTGGCAACAGGTGGTCAAGGGGAAAGGAGGCTCTCTCCACAGCCTGGCCCCCAAGGTGAGACCCTCAGGCCTACTACTCAAAGCGGTGCTTCCAGAAAGCCCAGACTCCGTGGGACCCTGGGGAAACCACGGCCATGGCCCAGTGGCAGCGGCATCTCTGGGGGTGGGGGGAGCGCTTCAGGTGCCCGTTGTGTGCAGGTCGGGCCCACAGGGTAGCAGGGGACAGCCAGGGAGGCCCATTGCGGCGTGATGGGCAGCCACAGAGGGCTGGCGTGCCCGGGCTGCCTGTTGGGGGCACTGACAGGGCTGGGGACCGCAGGTGTGAGGGGCAGGGAGTGGTACATGAGAGCAGCCAGGTTGAGGAGGCCTTGAACGCCATCCAGACCCGAAGGGCCCTGGGGAGCCAGAACCAGTTTGAGACGGGAGCGGAGATGGTCTGTTTTGTGTTTTGGACAGATCACCCTGGGGCCGGAGGGTCGGGAGGAGGATGGAGTGGAAGGGGTAAAAGAGAGGGCCGGGGGCCAGGGAGGCTGCTGTAGGTGTGCAGAGGGGTGATGAGCTGGGCCGGGGCAGAGGAGGAGGAAGAAAGCTCATCCGCAGACTGACGGGAGGGGGCGGGGGATCTCTGGCTTGAGCCTTGGAGGCCAGTTGGACCCACCTGGAGAGCTCCACCCGAAAGGGGCTGTGGAGAACTTAGAATCCAATCCCCACACCTAGGAGAGAAGGAAGAAATCTTGTCCTTCTCCAGCAGGGGGTCCCAGGGACTATCTGGCTCTCTCCAGCCCGGGGCCACACCATCCAAACCTTGCTCTCAGATCTCCCAGCTCCCCCTTTAGGTAAGAGATGGGGTTAGAGCCTTGGAGAGGCGAGCCACTGCCACTGATACGCTCTCTTGGGAGGCGCCCTCAGCCCAGAGGCAGGTACGCTGTGAGGCTAAGTCTGGGCCCATGCGCATGACCGAGATGACCTGGTCTCAGAGCGCTTTGGGCTAAACCAGGGGTGCAGTGTCTCTCTGGGAGGGCACCCAGGTCTGACCGTGGGAGGTGGGTTTTCCCTTACTCAGCTGCCCACCAGCCAGACCACGAAGTGGGAAAATGCTCTCCATCCTGCCTGCAGATGTGAAACCGAACTTGCTCCAAGGCGGTCATCACCCTGTCATCCCCGTGGGAATTGAGGTATGTGTGCTGGGGGGAGGGCAGAGGGTCCACACCTGCACCTGCTCCATCAACACACAAAGCCAGTATTTTATGGCCCTGGTGGTAAAAAATACTTTCAGAAATAGAATTGGCGTACCAGCAATGATTCAAATAAACAGCCTCCTCGGGTAGGTGCTCCTAACAGCCAAGTTGGGGCCCTTTTGGAATAGAAGACATAAAATTCCTGGGACCTGGAGGGGTTCTTATATGCTCAGTATTAAGAGACCTCAAAACAGCGCTCTAATGCAAATTTTGAGTAATGAGGCTCCTTCTCCCCAAATCCTTTTAAAAAGTAAAAAAGAGGGGCGCCTGGGTGGCTCATTCGGTTAAGCAGTCTGACCGGCTCAGGTCATGATCTCAGGGTCCTGGGATCCATGCCAGCTTCAACTTCAGGCACCGTGCTCAACAGGGAGTCTGTTTCTCCCTCTGCCCCTCCCCCTGCTTGTGCTCTCTCTCCCTCTCAAATAAATAAAATCTTTTTTTAAAAAAGTGAAAAAGGGGGCACCTGGGTGGCTCAGTTGGTTAAATGTCCAACACCTGATCTCTGCTCAGATCCTGATCTCTGCTCAGATCCTGATCCCGGGGTCGTGAGTTCAAGCCCCGTGTTAGGCTTCACGCTAGGCGTGGAGCCTACTTAAAAAAAAAAAAGTAAAAAAGTTTCAACTGGCCCAAATTGCCATCCTGCAGCTAGGAAAGGGCAAGGGTCCTTAATCTCTTTTGTGCCTCAGACCTCGTGGCAGTCTGATGAAGCTCGGAATAATGTTTTAAAACTCATGAAGCAAATGCGTAGACTTGCAAAGAAAACAAATTATACTGGAATTCTGCCAAAGTATTAACTGTAAGAAAAAATTCAAATAAAATTTTGAACTTGTAATATGGTAATATACGTGCTTCTTTATTAACACTTCAAATAGCAAACTCTAGCAGCAGCTCTAATAATCGCCATAATTCCAAAGGATGACTCGTGTAATTCACACTTCAGAGTTTCTGCAACAACCGAGATCTGGTATGAAAATATCCCTGACTTCTAGCCGTGGCAAAGCGGCAGGTGCTGCTAATACTGTTGTGGTTTCTCCTTAAATTAAAGAACTGTAACTCTTAGAGGTTAAAGACATAATTTTGCCCCCATTCAAGGTCATGGACTTACAGAATGATTTATGCACGAACCATCGCAGGCCCTCAGATGAACAACCCTGCTCTAAAGAGTGAAGACAGGGGCGCCTGGCTGGCTCAGCCGGCAGAGCATGTGACTCCTGATCTCAGGGTCGTGAGTTCAAGCCCCACAAAGAGTGTAGAGCTTACACTAAAAAAAAAAAAAAAAAAAAAAAAGCGAAGACAAATTACATGTATTTGAAATAGAATGTTCAGAAAGTGGCAGGGAACAATGACACCATAAGAAATCAAATACCTCCTATTCAAAAAGCCCTCCACTGGTCCCCCTGTCTGACTGTCTACTTGCGGCATAAATCAACCTCCCGATTACTTGAGCATGATCAAGAATTCTGATCTTGCAAAACAAACTGGACAAGGACCCAGGCCTTAGAGGTGAAAGGGGTCTCGTGTGGTCTTGGAAAATGTTCTGTCACTGACCTTATTCTCCCTGTTTTAGACTGGTTGGAGAGAGCTAATCAAAAGTAAAACAATGAAAGGTTTTATGCCCATGTAGATTTATGCACTATAACTTTCAACTTGGAGCTTTGTAAATTGGAAGATTATTTTTTTTTAAGCTGGCTCCATGCCCAGCGTGGAGCCCAACACGGGGCTTGAACTCACGACCCTGAGATCAAGAGCTGAGCTGAGATCAAGAGTTGGAAGCTCAACTGGCTGAGCCACCCAGGCACCCCTGGAAGATTATTTTATGGCTTAATTGAGATTAAAATGTGGTGCTCAGGAGCTTTAAAAGATACCAGCAAATCCATAAAGACAGAAAGTAGATTAAGGGTTACCGACGACTGTGGGAGAGGGGAAGTTATTGCTTAATGTGAACAAAATTTCCATGTGGAGTGACATAAAAGTTTTGGACATAGACATGGTAATAGTTGCACAACATTGTGAATATAATTAATGCCACTGAATTGTACACTTAAAAACGACTAAAATGAAAGAAAAAATATGGCTAAAATGGTAAATTGGATGTGATTTGTATATTTTTTAATTCTTTTTTTAAAAAGATTTTATTTATTTGTCAGAGAGAGAGAGAGA